TATATGAGGACGACAGTATTGACAATCAGCTGTGACCACAGCTTAGCTGTTCATGACAACCAATTTTATGCGAGAGTCCCACACGGCATCTAAATCCATTACCTCGTCCTAGCTTATGCAGTAGCTACAATTAGCATATAAACTAAACACAACAGTAGAAAAACAAAACGAGAAATTCACCTTGCCGCTGAATTTCTTCTCAAGCTCCCTGACGAGCCTGACGTGGATCTTCCTGAAGGCCTTGCGCAGGCAGTACGGGACGAGGATCACAATAGTCTTCCTGCTCCCGGCAACATCCATCTGGCTGCAAAGTCACAACAAGCATCGTCACCCAATGTCCAAACCAAAAACCACAGGCTACTACATCTCAACAGACGACAATAGATAGTAGGAAGAAACGGTAACCTTACATAGCATTGTTGATGTACAGGTCCTTGACATCGCTCTTGAACTCCTGGTTGCCATTCTCCAGGTCGAAGAAAGCCTGCAGGTACAGCAAAAAACCAGCCGAAAACACATCACAACCCCGACACATGGGCAACCACACACAGAGCACCAGTCCAAAGGAAAGGAAACACAACAGTGGGAGGAGAGAGGAGGGGGATTGGCACTCAGCTCACCTAGGCGACGGAGTCCTCGAACTCGGAGGGCTCAAGGCCCTTCTCCTTCTGGATCTTCTTCCTCGCGGTGTACATCTTGCCTTCCCTTCGCCGCCGGACCCTGCGGACAAGGTGGAGATTCAGAAAGCAGAGCACGGATCAGCAACCAGCGCACGGGGAGATAATAATCAGAGAATGCAGCGCCAGATCGATGGTGGACTCGGAGGCGGAGATGGGATACCTGTCGGTGCAGAAAGTGACCAACAGGTAAATATTTATAGTTTTGTCGTACGTTGTGATCGGATGTGGCCTAGCACTCAATGACACAGGGTTTATACTGGTTCAGGCAACGTGCCCTACGTCCAGTTTGAGTCGGTCGGTGACTTTATTCCTGAGCCCAGATGCTCGAAGTTTGCAGTGGGGTTACAAACAAGAAGGAGAAAGATGAAGGTACAAGAGGTTCGGTCGAACTCTGGTCAGAGGGGCCGAGAGTGACGGGAGCTCCGCTATGTGCTAAGTGTTCTAGTGTGTGCTCGTGGTTTGAACCTGGTGGTTCTGTTGTTGTGTACTAGTGAACTTGATCGATCTGAATCAACTTAGGCTGTTGGGAGAGAGCGCATCCCCTTTTATAGATGAAGGGGATGGCCTTACAAGTGAGAGAGAGAGAGAGAGAGTACGTGTGCTACTAAGCCTTGTTGCCCACACCGGCGGGTATAGGATGATGGTAGGCACCCACAATACCGTTGAATGTCAGATGCACGTTGAAGGTTGTGTTTGTCTTCTTCGGGTATGGCGGACGTCGGCGCCTGCCACACTGTTGATACCTAGAGACATGCAAGCGGTTTTACCATGTTCGCTTGGTATAGTAAATGTCGGCGTCCACAACACTGTCGATGCCCAGAGGCATGTGGGGGGAGCCTTACCGTATTTGTCTGGTATGGGAATTAATGGCGCCCACAATACTGTAGGGGAAAATGTCAGCGCCTACAACACTGCTTGAGTTCTGTCGTGCCAGGAGGGTCGCAGGGTACTGCCTAGCAGGTGCATAGGGTACGGTCCCTGGTATTGTGGTTTGACTTATGCGCCCTACATTACTTTCTTTGTCCGTTCCCTAGTCCTTACCGAGCGGGCGTCCCCGGTCGGTTAGCCCCAGTCGGCACTGACCGCATCAGTTTGGAAAGGAGCCTGTAAGTAGGGGTTCGGCGTATCCCCGGTCAGAGATGCGGGTCAGAGTCGGAAGCGGTGTTTGGCCAGACATTCTGGTCGGAGAGTCCATCCGGAGGTGGGCTGGAGACCGAAGCGAGTGCTCCGGTCGGAGAGGCGGGCCAGAGTCAGAAGCGGGGCACCGTTCCTCCTCGGCCAAGCCTTTCGATTGGAGATTGGATCGCCCTTTTGGCCTGTCGTCTAGGTATTTGGGCTGGCCCATGAGTTGCGCATTGCTCGCATCGTTGTCTGTTGGCCAAGCCTTTGTTGGAAAGCCGGTCTATGAGGGACCCCGGGTTTATGAACCCGACAATACCTGAGTGGGAGGAGACGGGGTGAGGAAGCGAAGTGGAGGCGCCGACGCTAGGGTTTGGAGGAGGCGTGGGTGGATGCTCGGGTGGGAACTCTTATACGCTTCGTTAAAACCCTAGCCCCGGGGAGTGGGCCGACCAGGCCGTGAGGCGGGCCAAGTATTTGAGAAGCCTATTTTGTGGCCGGACTTGAGAGGAGCCGCCCCTATAAATCGACCCATTTGTAGGGGCGGCTCGTATCACCAGCCGCCCCTACAAAAAATTATCCCGTTGCTACAAACGTTTTTTTAGTAGTGCATGCGTGGGCGGGTTCCTCGGAAGGTACTCCATGCCCAACATATTGTCAAAAATGAAAAAAAACGCCGTACGCCCAATGAAAGATAACGGAGGGAGTATTATACACCATAAATATTCATAGTTTGTGGTATATTTTTTATTAAAACTAAAGACGTTTGACTTCTTAATTTAGAAAGTGAGAATATCTTCCTCCGTTCCCGAATATAAGGTATGCACGTATTTGAAAATTCAAACTTTGTTATCTTTAACTAACAATTAGTCTAATTATATCAAAAATTTGTATTACAGAAGTAGTTACATTAGATTTTTATTTAGAAATACTTTCTACTGATTGAATTTTTATTCCTATAAATTATAAAAGAAGCTATATATCCAAATATGTTCTTAAAGACCGCACCAAGTCAAATCGTGCCTTATCTCCTGGTACAAAAGGGGATACCAACTAATCACACGGTGGCAGTGGCGGATTCAATGGTGGGGCGGGGGGCTCGAGCCCCCCTACCGATACCGGAGCAGTGGAGCCCCTCTAAATTTTTAGGCAAAGTTCTATCATGTAGGTAGGGCTGAGACTTAAGATCGAGCAGCAGTCGGAGATAGAAGATGACTATGTTGCTGTCGCACTTTTGTTTAGTCCCTCTAAAATTTTTCCTGGATCCGCCGCTGCACGGTGGGAATGTAGTAAAGGACACACGGTAGTAAAGGAGATAGAGATAGCATTATGTGTGTAAATCTTTGGTAAGTACAGTACGTCCGGCATGTAGTAGCCCTGCACGGCTGTTGCACCCGAATTGTCCATACGCTGGTACTACTATAATTAGCAGCTACACATGCATGCAAATCAAATCACATCGCCTGTTTCTTAGGTTTATTTAGTACTTAGTATATGGTTTAGTATTAACAACCGGCTACTATATATATATATATATATATATATATATATATATATATATATATATATATATATATATAGGCCCACATTAATAAGCACCGAACCAAACAGATAAGGCACAGCAGGAGCATTGTGTTGAATGCTGACACAACCCAGACTAAAGTGTCTACATCAGTCCCGGTTGGTGTTACCAACCCAGACTAATATGTAGACCCTTTAGTTTCGGTTGGTGTTATCAACCTGGACTAAAAGTCCTTCGACAGGTTAGTTCAAAAGGAAAACGTCTAATCTAAAGTCACATGTGTTTTGAAGGTAGGGTGGAAAGGTACACACAAGGTAATACATGAGGTCTAAGATTTGAATCTCACGCAAGGCAAAGAGGTGGGAGGCATTTTTTTTTATCCTCGGAAGACTTCTTTTTTTGAGACGATCCTCAGAGGACCTTTAGTACCCTTATTAGTGTTGCACGCCTAAAGAAAATGGACGGTCCAGCAAAAATTGTAAAGCAATATAGAAGTCGACTGAGACAAGACATGAAAGTTCAAAACAAAGTGACCAATAAATCTAGCGTGTGTTGCTAAAGACTCTTGCATCATAGTGTTCTCACTCACTACTATACGCTAAATAACAAGTTGCATGTTTTTTTTTAATCCTCGGAAGAGTTCTTTTTTTGAGATGATCCTCGGAGGACCTTTAGTGCCCTTATTAGTGTTGCACGCCTAAAGAAAATGGAGGATCAACAAAAAATTGTAAAGCAATATAGAAGTCGACTGAGACAAGACATGAAAGTTCAAAACAAAGTGACAAATAAATCTAGCATGTGTTGCTAAAAACTCTTGCATCATAGTGTTCTCACTCACTACTATACGCTAAATAACAAGTTGCATGGTTTGTGCAGTATGAAGAGAATGGTGGTGGTGTAGAAACTTAAGCATCAATAGATAATGCTCATAAGAGCAGCGATGTCTTCACTAGTTTCACCAATTTGTTGGTGGTAGTTTTAATATTGCTTTTTTTCAACTTTGTACAACTAGTTTTTAGAGAGTCCTAGTGGAATCGATGATACGCATGTTTAAGATTTCCTTTTAAAGTCCAAATTTGTTGGTAGCTGCCACGTGGAAAGGCTCTTTTCTTCTTTTGGGATGAATGTGGTGAACACTGTTGGAAATTATTTTGGTTAAACTGGATGGATTGATATGTTGTACTGGCTTTTGCTGGAGAATATTTTGGCTGTTTGGAGCAGAAAACTATTCAAAATACTGACGTAAAATGGTTTTATATCTGTGCTTAAATAGTGTTTGTATATGTTTATGTACTAAATCAAAGCATCTGTTTATGTGTTCTCAGCCCTCAAGTTGGGCTCATTTCACTCTCGAACTAGGCCTTAATTGGGCTAGGATTTGTACGTGGGCCTTATTCGGGGATCTATTCGTCTGGTACCCAAAACTACTGTGTACGTTTCGACTGATTTTGACGGACTCAATAATGTTACAGGAGAGAGAATAAATTAAAACAGGTAAAGGCCGAGCCGAACACGCCTCACCGAATAAACAAATAAATAATCTGCATTGGTTATCAGTGAATTATCAACAACCCACCCACCTCACCGAAACAATTGCTGCTGATTCTCATTGTCGCTCCTCCCCTCTGCTCACCAAATCCTGCCGTGCCGTCCTCGGTCCTCCTACCGGATCGAAGAGGATGCCGCCGCCGGCGGCGCACGGCGCGGCAGGCGCGGCAGGCGACAAACCGCTGGTGCTGCTGGCGCAGCCGCTGTTCCCGAACTTCGCGGCGGCGCTGGAAGGCCGGTACCGCTTCGTCCTGGCCGGGGACGCCGACGCGGCCACGGTGGCGGAGGCGCGGGTGCTGCTCGTGCCGGGGCTCGTGGCCGTGACCGCCGACCTCATTGACAGGTTTCCGGCGCTGGAGCTCATGGTAGCGACCTCCGTCGGGCTGGACCACGTCGACCTCCGCGCCTGCCGCCACCGCCGCGGGCTCGCCGTCACCAACGCCGGCGTGGCCTTCTCCGTCGACACCGCCGACTACGCCGTCGGCCTCGTCGTCGCCGTGCTGCGCAGGGTCGCCGCCGCCGAGGCGCACCTCCGGCGCGGCGCGTGGGCGACGGACGGCGAGTTTCCACTGGCCACCAAGGTTAGTTTGACTCTCAAACCACGCCACTCTGCACGAGTGCTGTTGGAAAGTAGCGTTTTCCGATGGTACGCCTTCGCCCGGCCGGATGCCTGGGATGAAGGCTAAGGGCCGGTTCGCTTGATGAATCTGGAACAATCTGGATGAATCTAAATAATCAGAGTAAACAGTATTTTTTACTCCAAACATTGATTTTCAGCTGCCGTTCATGTCAGCCGAACAGCGCCTAAGAAGGTGGTAGGTGGATCATAGGGTTTTATAAATGTCTTCAACAACCAATCAACCAGACTTCAGTTATCCCCATTTATAAGGTATTATTCAATTTTTTTTACATCTTTGTTCTACAACTCCTGTTAGTATAGGTGGTTTGGGGCAAACTGGACCTTCCCTTCTTTGCACCGCCTTATCTCCTTGGGCCTAAATTGCTGGCCCAAGGGAGGCCCATTCTGGCCCGAGGTCGCCTTCGCGCCATGAACCCTCCTGCTGTGGTGGCATCAGCTTTAACCACCGCCCATTGCACTACGGCCTTTGCCTTCGCTAAGCGGCCTTCGCTCGTGGCGCTGCGACCTCCGTCTTCGCCGGGCGACTTTCGCTCGTGGCGCTGCGACCTCCGCCTTCGCCGGGCGACCTTCGCTCGTGGCGCTGCGACCTCCGCCTTCGCCAGGCGGCCTTCACTCGTGGCGTTGTGTTAACCACCGCCCATTGCACTGCGGCCTTCGCCTTCGCCAAGCGGCCTTCGCTCGTGGCGCTGCAACCTCGGCCTTCGCTCGTGGCGCTGCGACCTCCGTTTTGGTTTGATGGTGGGCGAAGATACTGCCAGCTATCCCTGCACAACATTACTTCAACAATTCAGTTATCGTTAGTTCTCACTTGCACTGGCCTCCGCTGCTCGCGTATCCGTGCCCCAACAAGTGCTTTCTTGATGGATATAAAATTTATATGTTAACATATATAATAAAATTAAAATATGTCGTAAACTAAACTTAAAGTTCAAGTGCGCAATATTGATCTTTTCAGGTTTAATTCATTTTTTTTTTGAACTTGAGTACACTTATTATGTCCACTCTCGGCCCAACTAGTCTTAAGAAATTGAGTACTTTGTCATAGCTCATTCATCTAAAAGACCCAATAGTGCACTAACAAATATTTCATCACCCCTCTTGAAGCTCGCGCCCTGCCCCGCCCTGCTGCGCCTGCTCCATCACCTACGCAAGCTGCTATGCCTGTCCTGCCTACTGCACCTACCCACCCAACCCGCGCCTGCTGCTGCGCCTACCCAACGTTCGTGCGTTCATTGGCTGAGCTCAAACTGCCAGGACGAGATTGAGGGGGAAGGGAGGGGAGGGGAGGGAGAGGACAGGGCGAGGCATGCCGCGTGAGGAAGGCACGAGGTAGGAGCCAAATCCCTGCAGCAGGCGGTTGTCCACCGGCCACCGGCGCCATTGCAGCATGTGCAACGTCCGATCTATTTTTGAAACATCCAGATAAAACAGTTGCAACATACGTCTAAGATAGATGAAACACCTGAAACATGCGATTGAAACATGCATGTATAGCCATTTGCAACATGTGCAATACCAAGATCTATTTTTGAAACATCTAGATGAAACATTTGTAACATACGTATGAAACACCTAAAACACTTGAAACATAGGCCGCAACTTGTGTATTTTGTCATTGCAACATATGCAACATCCAGATCTATTTTTGTAATATCCAGATGAAACACTCAAAACAAAGGTCTGAAACGCCTGAAACACTTGAAAACATATGCAACATCTAGATCTACTTTTGCAACATCCAGATAAAACACTTGATATAAAAGTCGAAAACGCCTGAAACATTAAAACACAACGTTCGCTGCGCGGCCACAGCCTACCTGGTGGAAAACTGCAGTATAGATCGCGGGCAGCCGCAAGGCTCTGTGGTGGGGAGGGGGAAACGGAAAGGATGGAGAAGGCGTTGGCAGGATGTGCGCGGTTGCTGCCTGTTGCAGATTCGACCGGTGTGTGCGGATGAAGAAGGGAGAAGAAGATTAGTGATTCTTTTTTTAATATAAGCACAGTATATACTACTCGTACTCTCTAGCAGGAGTACTAGCCCAAGCGTCGCGGGTGGGTGAGAGCAGAGTAGGCGCACACAGAAAGAAGGGACGTCCCAGCCAAAGCATTATCGTTTTATTTTAGATCTATGGGGAAAAAATCTAAGTGATAGTTGTCCTTAAATCACTCAATTGTTGCCGATCGGATAGGAGAAGTGTTGAAAAAAAATAACAGAACAAAATTTGATACTCCTATGACTCATTTAATTTGCAGGTGAGCGGCAAGCGCGTGGGGATCCTGGGGTTGGGCAGCATCGGCACGCTGGTGGCGCGGCGCCTCGCGGCCTTCGGGTGCCGCATCGCCTACAACTCCCGCTCGCCGAAGCCGTCGTGCCCCTACGAGTTCTACCCCACGGCGCGCGCCCTCGCCGCGGCCAGCGACGTGCTGGTGCTGTCGTGCGCGCTGACGGAGGAGACGCGGCGCGTGGTGGACCGGGGCGTGATGGAGGCGCTGGGCGCGGGCGGCGTGCTCGTCAACGTCGGCCGCGGCGGCCTGGTCGACGAGCCGGAGCTGGTGCGGTGCCTGCAGGAGGGTGTCATCGGCGGCGCCGGGCTGGACGTGTACGAGGACGAGCCGGAGGTGCCGCCGGAGCTGCTCGCCATGGACAACGTCGTGCTGTCGGGACACAGGGCCGTGCTCACGGCGGAGTCCATGCGCGGGGTGGCGGAGGTCGTCGCGGGAAACCTCGAGGCCTTCTTCGCCGGTAGGCCGCTGCTCAGCCCAGTGACGCTGTGAAACTCTGAACCGCATCCACATGGAGGATACCTAGCTCGTCGCGACTGCCAAGTGCCATCCATCAAACATCAACCGTGTGGGATATAATATTCATGGAAAAAATTCCAGTGGGGACGGTCCTCACGTAGCAACTGTGGATGGCCGCTATAGATACGTGACAAGTGTCCATATGCACGCATCCAGCATACGAGGGAGTTGTAGTTTTCTTTTGTTATTTCTTTTAATTTTGAATTTAAGCAACAGTTCTATGCATTGGATGCATACGTATGGACATATGGATATGCCTACATCATGGGAGCCGCCCCTAATCCCCACTTATTACTAGACACAGTAATACAAAGTTCGTGTTTAATGCCTATATATATTTTTCGGAATTTGATGTGTCTAACTGTCTACCTATTATATAGTCTAACCGTGATTTTACCTCTATTTTTCTAACTTCATAATTTTACCCTCATGGTTTTGATTTGAAGCTGCAGCTTCCCCAGTTTTGGATGGAGAGCATCATAGAGAGGGGATCCACCATTGTTGTGAAGTGCAGATGGGAATTCAGCACTCACACCTCCACTTGATCGCTTTGCTAGCAACTCATCGACCTCACAAGTCAGAACCATGCCACCGGCGCTCTTGTTGGCAGCTATGATAGAATAGCTCTGTCGAGCTTTGCCTGAACCCTGCCCCAGCCATGCGAACCATCTTAGGCATTGCCTCATCGGGCGACGCCTCCACGTCAGCCTGGACCGGGAGTCGACGACGAAGCCCATGTCGACGGTGATCGATGTGATGGCACCAAATGTAGAGTGGCACTGGCCACCGATGTCGAAGTCGATCTTGAGGTTGTCGTCGCCCGTGGGAGCGGTAGGTGAGCAAGCAGCCGAGTAGGCAGGCCGCGTACGCAGTTGCTGGCGGCGACGCCAACGAGTCAGGGTCCCTTGACGATGTGGCTGGTGATCTTGAAGTGCGTGTTGCAGTATGTATCGTCCGAGAAATGAGCTCGGCGAGATCGACGTCGCCGCTACAAAGTAGTGTCCGCGAGCATTGGGCAAGGAGAGTTTCACCGTTGCCGCTGACGAGGCCACCACGCATCGGCGTCCGTGCCGTAGGCCACCATGCCTTGCGTGTTGTCGTCTTCCATGAGGGAGAGCTTTGGCCAAAGGACGCCTGCCAATGGCCGCTGGTTGAGGCGAGACGCCGGTCCTTTCGTGGGCGCAGTTGTCGGTTCTCAACGCGAAGAGCGGGTGATCAGGTTACTATAACGATGGTCATATTCCGATACATTTCTTTTTTCCCCTTACAAGAACATCTCCAAGAGTTCCCTAAAAATTCCTCCTAAAAAATCCATGTTTCTCAACTCCTAAAATGGGATTGGGAGAAAAAAAGAAGGCATTCTCCAATAGTTCATAATATTTCACTTTAAAAAATTAAAAATTGGTCTTACCTTGTTTTTTTTCGGTCTTTCTTTCGTTCGCGTGGAAGTCGTCGCATGGTCACGGTTCCCTACACCGCCGCCGCCTCCTTCCTCGGTCTTGCCCTAGCCGTGCTCCTCCCAGCCGGTGGTGGTCTGCTTGCAGCCGGCCATAGCCTCCTCTGAGCCGGCCGTGATCACTTTCCCAGCCGGACGTGGCCAGGTCCCAAGAGGCCGGCAACACCTCCCAGCCACAGCACGCCGGCAGCACCTTCCAGTGGCTGCTGAGAAGTCACTTCTTCAAAGGGAGTTGGATGATTCGTCATCAGACGACGATGACTGTCTCATCTTATCAGCTGCTAGAATTGTTGAAACATTTTCGAATAAAAAAGAAAGACATGGTGATTCTGTCCCGGGCCGTAAAGTTATTTATCGAGAAAGAGAAGGCGGGCACCAAAGGATGTTTCAAGATTACTTGGTTGATGATCCGACACATGACCCAAATTTATTCTGTCGGAGGTTCGTGCGCATTCACTTGTGATATGATCACTAGTACGCAATGTAATTGTTCTAAGATTTATTTTATTTTTTAATTCAGGTACAGGATGAGTCGGGATATTTTCCTACGCATAATGAATGTTGTAGAATCATACGATGACTACTTTGTGCAAAAAAGAGTGTTATGATTATACGATGGGTTATTATCTAGCCGATGGTATATACCGATTATGGGCTACTTTAGTGAAGTACATCTCTTAGCCTGTGGGGAACGAGAACAAATATTTTGCCAAAGCACAGGAAGCAGCGATGAAGGATATCGAAAGAGCTTTTGGGGTTCCGCAATCAAGGTTCGCCATTGTTCATGGAGCAGCTCTTTTATGGGACATGGAGACACATGGCAACATCATGAAAGCTTGTGCCATTATGCATAATATGATTGTCGAAGATGAGGGAGTCGTTGACCCTACTGAGCGGTTCGACTATGGTGGCCAAAATATGGAACCTTCTCATGAGAGAAATCGCACCCTTGATGAATTTATTGAAGCGCATAAAAGGATCAGAGATAAGGAAACACACCACCGGTTAAAAGAAGACCTCATTGAGCACCTCTGGCAGCATTTTTCTGATAAATATTAAGTTCATAGGCCTTCTATGTATTTATTAGCATGAGTACTTTTTTAGCTTGAAATTGTAATGAGTACTTTGTTTGTCCTAAGTTTGATTATAAACAATTTTCCATCCTCTCGAAATCAGATTAGTGCACTTGTGTCATTTTCCACCTTCTGCAATTCAGCTTCTACCTTTTTTTCTTCTAATGCCAGGCGCTTTTCTCTAGCTCAAGTGATTACCTCTCCTCTTTCTTCTTCTCTTTCTCCATGTTAAATGCCTCCTTCTTAGCCCACATTTTGTCCAAAGCCTCCATGCAAGCATCACCTCCTCCTAGCCTTAGAGCATCTTTTGCCTTCTTCTGTCCTTGTGGCCTCTTTGGGGCTTCGGACTCTGGGGGTGCAATCTCAGTGACATCTTCAGTGATGTTGACTTGTACATTCGTGGGAGTGGAGTTCGGGTGAACCTTCTGTCTCTTCTTAGCGGCTTGCTTCAACTCTGCCAGTTCCCTCCTCTTGGCCTTCCACTTCTCTTCATCCTTCAAAATGTTCCAGCAATGCATCAAAGTGAATGTCTTATCACTGTTCATTCCTTTGAGCATAGTTAATGCTTCAGAAACCTACAAACATATGTGTTTATTAAATATCAACGTGTATGTGTTCTAAGATTAATGAAATATGAAAAAAACATTAACACTAACCTTGTCTTGAATGGTTTTTCCACTTTGATTTCTACGGTCAATCGCATCATAGCAGGCACAATAATTGTTGACATTCTCCAAAATATACATCCATCTATGCATTAGTGAACTCTCTGTTCGGCTTGCAAATGACTTCCTATGGGTCTCATAGTACTCAGAAATTCTACGTCAAAAGGAGGCATGAGACTGATTAGCACCTTTTCACGGGATCTTTGCTGACGTTCAACCAAGCCGAGACAACAATTTCATCCTCGTCCGGAATGAAATTTTTTTGACTCTTTGCGTTTGGCCTTGGAATGCGTGGGCGTTTGCCACCAGCACTGGACTGCACTTCTACAACTTCAACAGCTGCTGCTGCCTGCATTTCATCTTCTTCAAGACCAGCTCCTACATGCACGTCCTCGTATGGCTCCGTTTCCTGTGTCATGGGAAAGCTGAACTCGTCCAAAGAACGAACACCCTCAAATCCCGTGACCAAGTCAGTCCAATATCCACCACCGGACATTGCGAGGAGCCTGCAAATATGGACAAAGAAATCATTACCAAATGCCATGAATAATAAAACTTTGTTTACAACATCATAACCCTAACAATCTTAAAACTAATATTCAGAAAAAAAAATCTGAAAGTAATGTTTACAACTTCATAACCATCACAACCAAGATACACTACAGATGCCCAGCAGCTGGCCAGCGGCATCATAACCTGGTGAGCAGTACCATGCAAGCAGACACACAACGTCATCGATCAAACAGCTAGTACCAGTGCACGGTAGCATGCAGGAATCGGCAACAAGCAGGTAGGCTATATGCTTTCAGTACCAACATATACAGCGGCAGCAGGCACACAGCGGCAGAGTACACACAGCGGCATCACACAGCGGCAGCAGGCGGCCAGCAGGCAGCCACGGGCGGCCACAAGGTGCCACGACCTCTCACACAGAAGGCAGCAGCCCGCCATGGCCTGGCACAGAGGCGGCATCCTGCCATGACCTAGCACGGCAAGAAGATACGGATGGCTTCTGATCCAGTGACAAGAACGTAGCAGCAGATCGATCCAAAAGAGCACGGCCATGGCAAAACATAGGGACGGCGGCAAGCAAGGAAAACCTAGCTGCGGCGGCCGCGGCGCAGCAAGCCCATGACAAATCGGTAGATCGGAGTACGTGCCTCGTCTCTATATCCGCGTCGGCGTCGTTCGTTGACCTGGACGGCGAGCGATGGAGGAGCGACGTCGATCGGTCTACGTACGTGGGAAGGAGGGAGCCGCGGGAAGGAGCGATGTCAAAACACGTTGCGATGAAGGAGCGCGGGAGGGAGGGAGCCGCGGCAAAAGAAGGCGCGGGAAGGATTCCGCGCGGTGGGAACACCGTATCCGCGCGTGGTTTTGTCCGCGCAAAGTTACGCGGAAGGAGGGAGAATTTTCCAAGTCCTAAAAGATTAGGAGTAGATATTAGGAGTTGTTGGAGAAGGTTTTTTTTCCATCTTTATAAAATACAAGGATTAGAAGGATGTTTATAGAACTTTTGGAGATGCTCTAATTGCCTTTCTGTTTCATTCTATTTACTTAAATGAGTAAAATTCATCAGCCATCCTCAAAATTGTCTGCATATGTTATCTAGGTCTCTGGAGTTCAAAATCATGCAATCTAGGATGGCCGGATTCACCCAACTAATCACGCCTAAACGAAACGAGTGTGCGAGGCTATTCACACTCGTTCACCTCTATTTCCATCTCTAAAAAGGAATATTCTATCCTAGTCATCGAGATTCTCTACTCTATACTCATT